TAACACATTCTCCAAAGAGAGCTACACATGCCTAACATTTTGGCTTACATGGCCAAAATAAAATGGTTAAAGTAAGCAGTCCCTTCAGCTGGAGGTTTCTGTTGGTTGGTGACTCAGACACTTACTTTGCAACTCCACTGGGTTGCAAAATTGAGATTTTCAGGTGTACATAGGGTTATTTTACTATTGCAATCCCTTCAGTTTAGCATTGAGAAAACATCTATTTACTGTCTGGGTAATTCACACAAGCTGCTTCTGAAACTCAGACTCCTAAGCACAGAAGACCCAACTGCTTGTTCTACAGTACATTTGTCAATATCATAGAAAGACAGTGCTGGCAAGTTGCTCGTATTTCTGACAAATGCACCCAGGACTATCAACATTAACATTCCCATCCCAAGGCAATTAAGGGGGAGAAAAGAATCACACATATACACATGTGCACACTGTGCATGCACACACCCACACATACTGCATCTAAATGGTAAAAATAAATGCATAAATCTCCAGAGTCCTGTTGTGGAGTTGTCAGGTGCATGGCAACTGGGACAGTCCTACCTTCAGACAGCTGTTTGTTATACAAAAGTATAGCTGCTTTCTATTAGAGGGGATCTATGCCAATAAAGGTTGACTGACTGGCTATTAGTGGGAGTGTATAGACTACTGCCTCAAATTTAGCAAACAATCACATAATTCAAGTGCAATACTCAGACTACAATTAGGCGAAGATGCTTTTTTACTCTTGGCTCAAACCTCTCCCTGCCAGTAATCTTAAATTTTCTCTAGGTTTCTTTAAATCAGCAAGTCACTTGTACAGATACTTATTCTCTACACCACTTCCCTTTTGAAACATTAAAGTGACACTGAAACTGACTGCACAAGATTGCATTTTCTCTTCCTAAACAACTTGAATTGAAAGGTTACTTAGTGTAACAATATTTACTTGCAGAATTGTGTTGTTACCAAGGGTATAATGGATAGTGGCTATGCAGGTTTACGCAAGAATGAGTGAAGCATGAGGCATTAGCCATGTGTTTGACATGTTTCAAATTGCTATAATCCAGCATTAAACACACCCAGCAATTCATGCCATTTCTTGCAGCCATAATCTTGAATAAAGCGTGCACAACCACTTATTATATAAATTAGTATATGACTCCCTGTTATAGTCACAACAGCGCTTTTGTGTTTATTTTGCATCAAGATGTGGTCTTTTATTTGTACAAATAGCAGGATAAAAAGACACTACTCAATTAGGCCTCCTTACTTTTATGATAGGTTTGTACAAAAAATCCTAGACTTGTTTGTTTTGTTTTGTTTTTCCCTAAGAGTTCTGTTGGTATAAAATGGAGCAGCGTGAAATATTTACTATCTTGTACAACTTCAACACTGCCTTGATTGTTTTCCAGGTCTCTGACTCCAGTGAAGGACAGGTGCAGTTCAGAACTTCAGAAACATGAATGACTACATCAAGAGAAAGTTCTGAATTGCCACTAGTGGGTCTTCTTTTTCTGCAAGATGTTAGTCTTTGAACATTATGGGGGGCTTGCAGTTATGCCCATTTTTATATCCTATAAAATAGTTGACAAAATTGGGTTTCTGGCTAAGAATGACCATGATTTTTATTCTTTTACATGGCTGCTACAATCCAGTATCCAAGGCATACTTCATTATTTTAATGAAGAAACTGTGACCAACAAACTTCCTAAGAAGGGAATGTGCCAGTAAATTAACGTCTTGGTGTTTTAGGCTTATTCTATGTTTCAAGATAAAACAAAGTTGAGCATGATATGCAATCAAAGTGTACCTTGAGTTTAGAAACGTACAATGACCTCTACAACTTGTTGCAAGATTTCACCTACTTTCTGCTGCTCTCTAAACCACTCGTGATCACTGAACAACTATCTAATAAAATCCAAATCCAAAGGACCATGCAACTAGACCCATGGCTCCAGTCTGCATGGACAAACAACTTTTGAAACTGAGACAACTTTTCAGTATCGCTTGTGATGAAGTATACAGGTATGCTGTTCAAAGGGAAAAAAGCCAATAATCCCATTATGGATGCCCAAACCTATAGATATATACTCAGAGTATGAACAACATGTGCTTCCTGGGTGCTTGGCAGAGGGGTGTGTGTGTGATCTATACATTTTGAAAATAAATACAGTAGGTCTTTGGGAGATGGCAAAAGCATTTGTTTATTAAATAAGTACTACTTTCTACCATCTTAAACAACTATTACTAATAATTAATTAATTAAACTTGCACTAGAATTCAAAGGGCCATGAGCGTATCCAAAGTCTCCTTCCTTGTGATATTGTATATAAAATTTTAAATCCTAATAATGTGTTAGCACCCCAAATTCTGTCCTTTTCCTCTGAATTAAACTTAGAGTTGGGGAGGGGATTAATCAAGTCACTTCCCTTTTTTTCTTTCTCAGACAATTCATCATCAACACAAGGCACAATATATTTAAAGTCTAGACTAGCATAGCAAA